ACAATAAACGCTGGCGTGGATGTGGAGAGACTGGGACACTCCTGCATTGCTGGTGGGATTGCAAAATGGTCCAACCTCTCTGGAAAGCAATATGGCGTTTCTTCAGAAGGTTGAAAATAGAAATACTTTATGATCCAGCAATTCCTCTACTTGGTATTTACCCAAAAGAAGTACAAGCCATAACACAAGTTCTGCACACCAATGTTCATAGCAGCACTATTTACAATAGAAAAAGATGGAGACAGCCAAAGTGCCCTTGAACTGAAGAGTGGATAAACAAACTGTGGTACATGAACACAATGGAATATTATGCTACCTTGAAGAATAACAATGAAACTGCAAGCCACCACATAACATGGATGAACCTTGAGGACATAATGTTGAGTGAAATTAGTCAGTCACAAAAGGAGAAATTCTATATAGGACCACTACTGTAAAAGACTAAGAAAAAAACCCATACTAAAGAAGAGGGAGATTCTTTGCTGGTTTCTGGGATATGAGGGGTGGGTTGAGGGGAGGGAGGGGGAGGCGGAGTACAAGGTAGGGAATAGACACAAGATAGTTTGGGTGCTAAGGAGGGGGGCAATACACAAGAAGGGGAAGGAGAATGGAAGAACAAAGTGGACAAAAAACAATTAGGCAGGTTTGCATGGGCTAAGTGGGACAGAGGTAAAGCATGATGTATACACAACCTTGGAACAACAGGGTTCTGGGATACAGGGATTGAGACATGGTTGGAATGGGGAAAAGGGGGGAAATAATGTTAAGATGCTTGGTTGCCATTTGAATATTGGTTTCCCTGGCATAGCATTTTAAAATAGACTCTTGAACATGAGAGAAAGGAATAGCCAGATATATCACCATAGAAAGCTTGTAAGTCTGTCTACGGCCTATAACTTATTGTTGTTGTTGTTAGGTGCCATCGAGTCAGTACCAACTCATAGCAATCTTATGCACAGCAGAAAGAAACCCTGCCTGATCCTGGGCCAACCTCACTATTGTTGCCACGCTTGAGTCCATCGATGCTGCCACTTGGCCAATCCGTCTCGTTGGAGAGACTTCTGTTTTTTTCTCTGATCTGCCACCTTACCAAACATGATATCTTTCTCCAGCAACTGGTCCCTCCTGACAATATGTCCCAAGTATGAGAGACGAAGTTTGGCCATCTTGGCCTCGAAGGAACACTCTGGCTTCACTTCTCCCAAAACGGATCTATTAGTTCTTTTGGCAGCCCATGGCACTTTCAATATCCTCCTCCAACACCATAAATCAAAGGCAT